TGATTCCTCTCTCAATCACATGTTTGAATCCGAACATTTTAGATTTCCTCTTTTCTACGAAAAATTAGCCTAACCTGGGATGTAAAATGTGAAAAATTAAACTTCAAGAAATCGTAGGGAATTTATAAGATAACCTTCGAAAATTGAACAGGAACGGAACGGTCATCTCGAAATTTTTAGGCGTCCTCAAGCTATAGAAAATTCTAGGCAATATCTACTTCTCCGAAGATATATTTTACAGAAAACAGTCGTTGAGTGCCCCTGAAATTTGCTCGCTATAACGAGGTTTCGTTATATCGAGGTTTTTTTTTCATACCGTAAATCCTCTATTAAGCCCCCCCGGGGGGCTTATTTATTTCAAGCTCATTTGAGGGGGAGGGGCTTAATAGAGACGGGGGGCTTAATATATTTAATTTAGAAACTACGATGGTATCGCTTCTCCATAAAGAACTAGCGTACAAAGTGGAAAAGCTCAAGTACAGGAAGTTTTAGGTCATGCAGCCGAGGATCATAATCAAATCCGAACTTCCAGTTGGCAAATAAACCATCCCGGATTAGTCCACACGAAGTATTACGGTCGTGATTGATTAATACAGTCTTTCATTTATTAGTGAAGAATAATTAGGGGTGGGAAGCGGGTGCTTGACAGAAGGGGGGGGGGGGGGGGGGGCTTATTAACTTTCTTCCCCTGAAAAGGGGGGACTTATTAGAGGGAGGGGGCTTATTTGACAGGGGACTTTAATATGGGTTTTACGGTATATTTTACTATTATCGAGGTAAAGAAAATCATTCGTAGGTTCTTTATATCGCGGTTCCACTGTATAATAAGGGCCTACCCCTATATAGTCTTTTGACGAAAAAATACTTTTTTAGTGTTATGTTTACGATAAGTCAACGAAACTAAGGATTTTCATTTTTTTTACATGTTTCGCTTTTATAGCTACAGAAGGTGCCGCGTGAGTTTCTTTTTCGGAATGATATCTGGCTCCACGGTATAACCTGGGTCTCAAAGTTTTTTGTCACGCAATCTCGTTTCGCTAAAGGCAGTAAAGGATTCGGGTCTGTTGGCAAATAATGTGAGGTAGGTCAAAATGTTTTCCTTTTTTATAGCTATAACGATTTGGTTCATGAGAAATGAGAGCATTTGAAAGAATAGCGACCGACGCTATTAGCCGTTTTGTACATATATGTACGGCAAAAGTAAACAAATACGCACTTAAGGGTGTTGTAGTCAAGAAGTTCATAGCACACTTTCGCACAATAAAATTGCTTTTCCTTTTGAAAATTTACCACTGTGAAATCTAAAATCGTTTTTGGTGTTTAAACTGGCGGAAAAGGGGCGAATTTGCGCCAGAGTTTCAAGTGCTGTCTAAGTTCTCCCTTGTATTCATCATGACAACTGCAAGTTCAGAGGTCGTTAATCAGGCGAGTACCGTAAATGTTTTCAGTTGTAAAAGCTCGCAGTTTCAATTGCCCCAGAATTTTATTTCACAGATTGATAGGGGAAACATTGCTCTTTCTCTGGAATACCATTTTTCTAATGAAAGCCATGTACCAGGAAGGGATTTTCGCCGTTGAAAAATGGCAAAATTGATGGTCGCGATAATGCTGATTTAGAGGGTAATTTTGAAAAAAAATTAAAAAATCAGATTGAAATCTTTTGAAATTGTTTAATATAAGAAAAGTGATGGTATTAGTTTCCGTTTCCATTCAGGAAGCGAGGGTATCAAGCACATTTTTCGGTGGTTTGGAGGCCACTCGAAGGTGAAAATTAAAAAAATATATTATTTTGGAAAATATTAAGTCAAAAGAACTGAGTCTTGTATTTTCTAAAATAGTTTCCAAAGGGCTTTGTTGTGACAAAGTTTGGGAGATTTCGATTTTTCCATCTTGCACACCTATCCGTGGTATTTACAGAAAGTCGCTCTTAATCAGTTACCAAAGTTACCGCAATAACAAAGCGAACTGGGTTAAAATCACTAAACTTTGTTCAGCGGGACTGAGCCTGTGACTGGTCATTGGCTCCTGCTTTGCTTTGTTCAACTTTGTTGACCAATATAAGTTTGAAATTATATTCTCTATCTTTCTTCGTCTTTTTTTAGGGTCTTTTTAGACTGTAGTTGAGTTTCCAATTTTGCAAATTTTACAGAATTAAAGTATCCCACATTGTTTGTTTGAAAGTTGTAAGGAAACAAATATTTGGTTTTGTTCTTGAGGGATAGCATTACCCAACGTCTCTTTATCCTTTACAGATTACCATTTTTTCTGTCATGATGAACCTTGTGCGCATACGAACGTGATACATGGGAAACAAGACTATATTTGATGTTATATTTGCGGTTGTAGTTAAGACAAAGAAAAAGGTTTAAAACAGTTGTAACAATCGTCGCGTAGAATTCCGGGTCCATCGAGGTCAACAAAAAATCTCCCGTCCGGGTAGGGGTTAGTGTTTTGCCGTTTTTGGTCGTGACACTTCTGAATGAAGCATACATCACAGGGTCCAGAGGAGATGTGTTTGTCGTTAGAACATCAAAACCCGTCGAAATAATGGGTTATTTCGATCGCGTTGACGATCGCGTTACAGTTTCGTTACAAATTCTGTATACCGCAAACCAAGAGACTGAGGGCTCGCAAGATCGGCTTACAGTTTTACTCGGCACTTCGTGCCTCGGTCGCCCTTCGGGCGACGTGCCGTGCGCCAGCAAGGCTATGGCTCGCGGTTATTGATTTTCAAAATGGCGAACAACAAAGTCGATCTGGGTCAGATAAGAAGCGAAGAAATCGTTTACAGTAGATTCATAAAGATCCCATTGGGCTAATTAATCGTGCTAAGCGACAAGTATACACATTTTTCAAGGTGAGGCTTTGATTAAGTAATTTATTTATTCACACGAAACTCCTCTGGACCCTGTGTATACATGGGGTAAAAATAGTAAAACGGTCAAAGAGTACTGGAAACAAGTTTGAAAAATAAAAAAGATGGCTGCCGAAACGCAGAGAATTTTTTCTGGCTTTCAAAGACGTGTTTTGGAAATTTTCTTCGCGCTCGCTACCCCTCACGGGTTCAGGTCAAATTCAAAGGAAAACAAAAAACCCAGTTTTTATCACAATCCTTGGTTTAAAAGACTGTGGTGGTTTTAAAGGCAGACAGGAGATGTCACGATATAAGGTGGTACCGTTCGCGATTTCTGCAAACTTTGGTTTTAATCTTTCCGCGAAAGTCTACGCTGGTGAAAATCCATACAAAAATGGCCATTTTTTGGTTGGTTTTTAGCGCGAAAAACCCAGTGAAATCCGATAAGCTGGCATTAATCAAAGGTAAGATCTTGAATTTGATGTTTCTTGATATAAATATTCCGGTGGTACCCATTGAGATTTGGTTTCGAGTAACTCACAATCAGAGACAAAAAACTCCGAAAGTCGCTTCAGTCTTATTATTCCACCATATTTTAAAGACCAAATCGTGGCTCGAATGCAGCTCTAGCCTGTTAAATTCCCGGATGTGACCGGGCATTCTACGCGATGATCGTGTCAGGCCAGAACCTGCTTGGGCGCAAACCGTCTCAGTAAATTACCTTAAGTATTTCTAGCCGGATTTATGAAAACCGTAACATCGGACACCAGGAGCCCACACACCTTAAACTGACTCAACTAAAGTAAATATCGCCAAGAAACTCAGCTCTTACCCATGGTTCTCTTAAGGTGACTCTCTTCTTGGTTCCTGATTAGCAAAAGAAACATTCAAGTCCATCAAAAAGACACTCTGGACTTGTCCATACACTCTAGCTGCTTCAAGGCCCTGAATGACGGAGGACGCTTGAGACTTCAGCAAGTTCTAAGCAGAGAATTCAAGGTTAAGTCACCCCCCTGACTTCCTCCACCCCCCCAGCCTAGCACGTGCTTGAGGGGAATGCTTTCATTGGCCAATGGGCCTCAAACGTCACAAGAATTTCACATGACAAACTAAAGGCAGACGTGACCAGTGCACTGACTCTCCCAGACCAGGACTAACGGAAGGTACAACGCTTTTGCAGCAGCCTCCCCCCCTAGGGATTGACGTGGAGGCCCCTTTCCAACCCATGGCGAGTTAGCTCAGGGACTGAACTTGACAATGAGACCAAGCAGGACAGCAAGCCCCCTATGTTTTCTCTCAGCGCAGTGACCAGAAAGCTGGCTATGGCCAGCTTTCTGTGCGAATATTCTGGTGCATTTTCAGGTAGGTTTTCAAAAATTCGGCTAGATTTATTATACTAGAAATACGTATCTCGCAATACCCTCGGGAAACTCGGTTTGGTAACGGCACTCAAGTTAAGCCCTCTCGGTCGGGGTTAAGAACTGGATGGGTGACCAACCGCGCGTATCGTCTTACAGTCAAACCAAGTCAAGCGTACCCCCCAAGATTCTATCAGTGAATTGATTATTTGAAAAATGAATCCGTTAGTCGTTCCCGTAACTGGTGTCAAATTCAAAGCGGCATTTCTGCATGCGTAATGAGCAGTGAATATTTTACGAGAACTTCTCTGTATTTGGTCAGATTGTAAATCTTTGAATGGATTAAGCTTCTTAGAAGACATTTACATCAATTTCAGGAAAATGGAGCTGGTAGAAATTTCATAACTGCCTCGCGTGTGAATTCACGGCTCATTACGCATACAAGAATGCAGAGATCAATCTGAAATCTACAACTAGCAACGGATTCAACTTTTGAATAATAAATTCATTAATGGGTTCTTGGGGGGTACGCTTGACCTGGTTTGACTGTAAAGGTCCACACGTTGTTCTTTCTCAGTTTCTTCTTCTTCTTTTTTGCATATTATGGGGTGTTATTATTAACAGTGTATTGAAAAGCAGATTTAGCATTATTTCGGCGTCCGGATTTAGAAAAAGACAAAAACAAAGAACAAATATGGCCCGGTGCAGTTCGCCTGAAAATTATTATTCTTCGGGCCGTAAAACAGAGCTGAAACTTTGCAGACTTTGCTCTACATATATCGGCAGGGATGGGTTTTCATTCACAGACGATGAATGCGCCTTGGTCATCGGCGGCGAAGTCTATGTTGCCTGGAAACACAAAATCCCATGTCCCATGTAACATCACCTTAATTAAGAGAAAGTTTTATGCGTATGATCTCATGGTAGGTGACACAAGTGTGGTATTTAGTCAAATAAACTTGCCATGTCAGTGCAGTACTGGAAAGAAAATTTGGAGAAATCCATTCGTTAACTTGTTAAATGAAATATTTTGAAAATTGAACGAACCTCTCTACCATGGCCAGTGCGAATTCATTCATTCCTGGTTTAAACTGTCTCTGCAACTGATGTCCATTGAGTGATTAGACCTTATAATTTTTATGTTTTCATTGCCAGGTCCTCTCTTTTTTTATACTGCTGAACAAACAAGCTGTTTAATAAGCTTTAAGGTGATGTTACACGGGGCGATTTGCAGCGACGATTTTTAGCGCAACACAGCGTTGCAATGTTGGAACAATGTTGTAACAATTCGAAACAACATCGCAACAATGTTGCAACGCTGTCTGAGTGTTGTGCTAAAAATCGTCGTTGCGAATCGTCTCGTATAACATCACCTTTAGTTAATTAAGTTTTGCCGGACAATAATAGGAATTGAAAATTTGCTGTTTTTTATGCTTGGGAAACTGAAATTTAACCCTTCAGTTCCTTTTATTTATTTTTTTTTACTTGAATTCCCTGTTCTTCTTTTTAACACCCTCCTTTAAAATAGAACAGCTACTGATTTTTTTAACCTTACTTTCAATGTTTTAAAGAACGAAATAATATTATAGATGATCATATTTTGTGGTTAGCAATTTATCTTCTTTAATAACAATTTTTAAGGACGGTTTAACCCCCTTTTTTTTTTCTCATTTTCTTTTTTCATTTAGCTGGGATAAATTCGTCCCCATGCTCCTCTCATTTTACACTAGAACAGCAACTGTTTTTTTAGCTACTTTCAAAGTTTTAAAGAACGAAATAACATTATAGATGATTATATTTTCTGGTTAGCAGTTTATTTAGTTATTTATTTTTTTTAAAAAAAGGTCGTTTTTAAGTAGGGTAACCCCCTTTTTCAACCATTTTCGTTTTCATTCAGCTGGGATAAGTTCGTCCCCAGAGTCCTCTCATTTTGTACGTCATCATGCTGACGATTACCTATGGCGTGAGCAGCAAAAAAATTGTTTTTGCTACTTTTTGTGGGCCACATGCGTACATCCATGAGAAGAGGAATTTTTGTCTACTAGCTGAGGAGTTTCCAATTTTTTTTGCTCGCTAATTGGTCTGCTGCAGAGGCTATCTGATGTATTTTAGAGTAAGTATTCAAGTACTTTTTATTTCCAAGACCTTTCAGTACTTTCATGTGTCAAATATGCAGCAGGCATCTTGCTACGGTTATAGCTAGTGGATCTATTTGCCCTAGAAACCTGTTTCCCTTCAAGGTCCTTAGCTTTATATAATTTATATTATATATTAACCCTTCAGTTCCTTTTATTTCTGTTTTTATTTTTTGCACTGTGTATTGTGTTAGACGTGGCTGCATTGCAGTTTGTTGGTCGCTCAATATCGGTGTTTTTAAACTTTTAACATTTTACTTTACACTGTATATTTGTGTTGGACGTGGCTGCATTGCAGTTGTTGGTTGCTCAATATTGGTGCTTTTTCTAACAATTTAACTATTAACCAATTTTATTTGTTTTTATGCCTACAACACTCTCATTTACACACCCCCTCCCTCCCCAACTTACCCACTATTTAGTGGAGACTTGGGAACCCTTTCATTAGGGATTCCATACCACACCTGTAATGCCACAAAGGTTGCTAGAGAAACTACTGTTTTTTGGGGGGTTTTTGGTTTTTTTTATTTTTTCAAATGTATGGAGTCACTGAAGCATGATGTTGCTTATATCTTCCCACCAATTTACACTTACTTTTTTTTGGCAAGGGGGCTTTTTTATCTTGTTCTCTCTAAATAAATTATGGCAACCAATCCCATAATTTCACAAATTTAGGAAGCAACCAACATCTGTTGCTGTAAATATCAGTTCAAAGTACAGTCTCTCTTTTTCAGCCATTATTTATGGAGAGATTTTGTGGTAGTTTTTAAATTTGGTAATTGACTGAGAATAATAACTATTTCAAGATATACACACACTCATTAAATTTTACTTTCTTTAATGTTTTCCTTGTGGATAAAATTTGCTAATTAATTTTACAAGGAAGAAAAATAGAATGCTGAACATTTGGTTGTCTTTTCAACCAGATCTGTGAGACAGCCTCCATGAGATTTGAACAGTGGTAGAACAGGCAGCTAAGACAGCAACAAAGGACAAACTACAAACGACTGTGGTCACAGGTTCCACTCATATTTGTAGCCCTGCAGTTTATTGTCATCATCATTATCATAGAACTGCTTCAACTGCCAAAGAACAGAGATCAAAGTAACAGGAATACTTTCACCAGGTAATAAAACTGCAGCTTTATTTTCTGTAACATGATTCAAAATCAATTGATCTAAACCCATTCAAGTAAAAGTAAAAAAACATCCATAAAAACAAAGATTTATTTTTAAGCATCAACATTACTGTGGATACAATATAAAGAGTAAAACTAGCTAAGTAGTTTCTAAATTACTAGCTAGAATCATGGCAGTTTTGTTTTAGTACATTTATTTACAAAGTTTTCTGTCCTGGTAACCCGCATTAAATCACAGAATGACTTCTTATGTTTTCCACAAAACAGAGTCTATTAATTAAGTTTGTGAATTTACATGCATGTTTGGAGACAACAACAACATGACATAGAGATTATGGCTTGCAAATGTCACCATTGTTTCCAAAACAACAATTAGCAGTTACTTCAATTTATCATTATTTTTCACACATTCTTGCAGGTTCCTCAAGCGATGTCTTCAGTGTACAGAGAACATGGAATCTCTATCCAGCACAACCAAAAACCGATGCGATGAATGTAGTACTGCAGCAAAGATGTTGGTGGAGTGTGTTGAACATTATTACGCCAAAAGATGTGAAGTTGTGTCATGATTATTTCTGTCTGTCAAATATAAGATCAAGAAAGAAAACATAAAATTCATTATCACCCAAAATGTTACAAATTACTTGCTTATTCGCAAGAACTGCTTTCTTTGTTTCAGACTAAAGATGCTTTGAAATTCACAACACTTCCTGTTTCACCAGTAGCAAATCCTTCTCTTGCAACAGTCTCAGTGACTCCGAAAATTTTTAAGGTCTTCATTTGCCTGTTTCACAGCAAGTTCTGGATATAAAGGGATGTTTAGTGTAGCAGATATTCTTCAAATAGCAGATGTTATCCATCAAGTTGTATTCTTGCTGTTCTTGCTATGCTTTTAGGCAGTAATTCAGCTATTTCTTCTACACAAAACATGTGAACTGTTAGATGCCATTTTCTACTAGTCTACAAAAACTAAGCAACCTTATCCCCAGGACTTCTTGGTTGCGATCCCCTTTTCTGGTACCCTGTACTATTTGATGTCATAGTTCAGGATATCACGGACATCTTCCAAATTTGGTTATCAAGAATTAGCCATGGGATTTGAGCCAATCAGAAATGGAGAAATATTAATGAATGGATGATAATAAACATTAGTGCAAATTCAGTTCTTAACAATGTTATCAAAGCCACTTTGTTTACAGCTCCAAGGTTGTGGCAGGGAACTTGGAAAATACTATAGTGACTAATTCCCATGTGACAACACAGCTTTGTCTTATGCCATGTGATATTCAGATTCCCAAAACTACATCATTTCATTAGTTTTGCCACAGTTTTGTCTCAACATACCATGATAACTACGTTGGTCCACCATGTTTTACATCTGTTGGTGATAAGTCACCTACATAAAACTTTTCCAGCAGAGATGAAATATGGTTTTTTACAACTCTATGTGCAGGTTGTTGTGTAAACCCCTGTGTTGAGTCTCCGCCAACATTTTTGAGAATGGCTTCCTGTCCAGGATGAGTGGTCACATAATCCGACACATCATACACCTGATAACGCAATATGTCACATTGTTATATGGCTGAATCAACAAGCAGGAAAGATCAAGAAAATCCTGCATTCTGATTGGCTACCCAAGCGGCCAAGATGGGCTCATCCTGCCCACTCAGGATTTCCCGCGTTGGTCCCGCAAGTAAAAGATCTTTTTTTGGCCATTATAATGAATCCTTATTGACCAAGCTTGTTCGGTCAACATGGCTAAATGTTGACATCATTCTTTTCTGCATTTATATTGACCTCAACAAAAATGCAAAAAAGAACTTTGCTGATATCCAGCCATCTTGACCTCATGCTTGGTCAATAACACATATGTCAAGCAACCTTAATAGTTTTAGAGACTATCTCCTTACATTTGAGAGACTCTGTGACACTTGCTCATTACATTATTTCAACTTTTTCTTTTTTATGCCTTTCATACTTTGCCTCATTCTCATGCTTTTCATGCATTTTACTTTACACCAACTTTTTACACATATAGCTCTATGCAGAATATTTTCTCATCCCTGATGATTTATATTTTTAATCACAGCAGTTACAGGTCTCACTCAAACAATATTTTACGTAATGCACAGTGTTTGGAAATTATCTATCTGCAATCTTTTCCTGAGTAAGTTTTTTTGTATCCATAAGAATGTTCAGATGACTCCTAAACAATGCAAAAGAAGTTCTGGCAACTTCCAAAAGTTACTGAAGATGACTAAAAACTCCTGAAGATTGTAAAAGCTATACTATTGCTGTAATAATGTGGGAAAAATAATACCATACTTTTTGAACCCTTGGGCCTTTTATGAGTACCATTTTAATATTGTAGTAACGATAAGCTAAAAAAATTTGTTGTGTAGAGTTGTTCAAATCTTTGTGAGCAGCTTCTCTATGTAATTAGGCAAGAGTTGCCCACATGGGTCTCCCTCAGGGGTTAATTTGAATTTTCCCATGATTAGTAGTGTCATCACGCAACGCTTGTTAGGTGGGGGGTAGCGTTGCGTGACGTCACTAAAACGGCTGGGAGGAAGACCCGTCTTGTCTTTGAGAGGAAGACTATGCTGCGATCTGACGTTTGAAAAAAGGCTCTTGATTGTTCCCTTACATAAAGAACAGCATACTGTGTGCACTATTGTCGGCCTCGATCGCTAGCTAGACAAAAAATCCCCACTCTGGCACCGTTAAGACATTTATTTGTCTTTTACTGAAGCTCACCGGCACGCAGTTTGATTGTTTCGACCTACCGTAAGCAAAGATTAGCATCTTACAATAAAAGAGATTTATCGTTAACAAAACCTTCAGAAGTAATACCTTTCCACTGATTACTATCCAAGCATCGTCGACTTTGTTGTGCTTTTGTAATTCTTGCAGAGAAATCGAAGGTTCCATAAGTGTGTTACTGTTATCTGCCCTCAACATTATGCGATTGTGCAAGACCGGGAGAGATTTGGGAACTAAATGCTGATTTCCAAAACGTGCGAACTTATTGCGAGAGTTAAATGCACGTGGAGTGTAGCCTGCGTAGCGGCGTCGAAAGGGCTAGGGGGTAGGGGGCCACGCAGGCTACGTGAAGTGCGACGTTTGAAATTCGACAGTTTAAATTAAATGCTACTTTCGCCGTATATGCGACTGAAACATTCGAAGATTCGACTTAATAGGTTCGACTTTGATTCAAACGTGGCATTATTTAATGCATGAATCTGATGAATTTTTATTTAGAGAGACTGGAAATATTGGCAGCTAACAGAGTTAAATTCGACAGAGACGTCAGAGTTAAATTCGGCGTTTGAATCAACTGCCGTATATAACTATTTTAGTCGACTAAAACAGGAATTAAGTTTGGCACAGGTGAAATTCCACGTTTGAACTGGGCCTAACCACAGGTCAACCAAACTCGAAATATAAGCGTCGGCGAACATCGGCATTGTTGCTAAGTAAGTAAGTAAGTAAGTAATTTTATTTAACCACATATCGCATATGAGCGATAGCTCGTTTAAATGCAAATGTGCCATAAAAATTACAACGTGATAATTTACATAATCTACATGTACAAGTAATGAATAAAAATAAGAAATAGAAAAATTAAACCAACTAAAAGATAATAATAATTTAAAAAGAAAAAATATTGGTAATCAGATTGTCTATTTACAAAATTCACAGTTGCAGTCATACGATGAAGACAACTGTATGTTTTGTAAGTTTTTCCTAAAGATAGAGAGGGACTCCGACATCCTTATTTTGTCTGGTAGACTGTTCCATTGTTTGCCAGCCTGGTACGTGAAAGAATGTTGCATATAAGATGAGGTCGGTCTTGGAAGAACAACCTTAAGATGGCCCCGTAGGCTGTAACCATTGCTTCGCAGTAAAAGCATTTCCCGAATGTAGTTCGGTGCCTGGTTATAAATGCTATTGTATACAAGTATCAGTGCTTGTTCTATGCGTCGATGTTCCAAGCTTTTGATATGTACAGTTTTAAGTAGCTCTTCATAAGCAGTCGACTTGGAGTAGTTAAGAAGAGTCCTAAGAGCAAATGCATTGGTTGACTCCAGTTTTGCAGACAAACCTTTACTTAGACCTATGAACAATGGTGATGCGTATGAACAATGGTGATGCGTAACATTCGAAATATAAGGATTTGTATGGAAAAAACCCTATAATTTCCGTAACCTACGAAAATGAAAGGATTTCTCTCAATAAAGACCTTTGTATAGAGAGAAAACAGTTTACAGTAAAACCCTTGAAATGGCCATAAATCTGACCACACAAGAGAGATGTAACACACATTTTATGTAAAGTAAGCTGTTTTTTATTGAAATCCTTTCATTTTCGTAGGTTACGGAAACGATAGGTTTTTTTCCCCGTACAAATCCTTATATTTCGAATGTAACGCAACAATGCCGATGTTTGTCGAGCTTGGGCAACCTGTGTATGAACGTTAATATAGAGAGAAAACCTTTTACCCATAAAACGACCATAAATCGGCCCATGGACCACACAGGAGAGACGTAACACACATTTGATATAAGGTTACGCAACAATGCCAATGTTCGCCGACGCTTATATTTCGAGCTTGGGCTACCTGCGGCCTAACGTTCTTTTCGAAAACAACGGCGAGCGAAGCGAGCGCGCGAGAACGAGCGCGGAGGGCGACAAAGAAAAATCCCCCGCCACTATCCCCTTGCGCTGGCGGTCAATAAATCCCCTGCGGTTTACATTTTATCACCGCGACGGACTTTGAAGAGAAAATAGAGGGTCTGTGAACAGGCTACGCAAGTATTCGCAAGTATGCGTTTCCGAGCTAGCGCTTTTTGCGCCCGTGAACTGATTTCATTTGTATTTTTTGAGAGTAAGTTACCTAAGACATAGAGCTGAGGCCATTAAAGTTTTCATTGCATACACCAGCCTACATGCATCCTATGAAACAACCGCATAAACGCCATACAATTGCGGCTAAAATCGGGGCATGAATTAATTTTCAGCAGGAATCACCCAAAGGGTAAAATAATTCGCCGTTGTCTTCCTTTAGCGTAGCTACAAACGCTACTTTTTCTAAGACCTGCTCACAAATGTTATACTGTTTTTGTTTTCATTAAAAGCTGTATCTCTGCAGCATATGTAGTGTCTCGTTCTGAATTTGATGTCTTTGATGGTATCAAGCAGTCTGATGTAGCGAATATGATTGGCACAATTGTGCTTTAAACGCGTGATTGTTACAAGCCTCGAATCTTTTTGCATTTTACTCTTTTAAAATGATATTTGGATGATAGTTAATGGTCATGAGAAACACAAGAAACGGACTCAGCCGTAAGAAATTTCGAATCAAACCTTACAAGTGCTCCATGAGCGAAGAAGAAGATGATTCATTTTTTTTATTGGAGTTTTAATGTACTGAAGGTTGAAATAAATAGTTAATTTTTTGGAATTTGTGTACAATTGGTTATGTTGTACACTCATGACTATGCATAATTTGCCCGCCAAGAATCAGTTATCCGAAAATTTAACAACTGTTAGACAACAGGGGCGGATC